GTTTTAATTGTCTTTAACTTCAAGTTGAACTTGCATATGAGCAGTTGATGGTCTGTTCCACAATCAGCTCCTGGCCTGGTTTTGGCTGAAGATATTGAACTAACTTTATTTGAATAGATTTGTATGTATTATAATGTGGACTTTAAAAGGTGTGAAAGATATCATAGTTTCACAGGTTATCATTTTGGAAGATTAGTTAGTGTATCTGTTCTCTCATAGTCAAGGAATATTCTTAGATTTTAGGACAGTCCCATAAAGAGCCATCTTATTCTCTCAAGTTCAAATTTGACTGAGAAGCAGACAAAGGTGTAGGGCAAGAGGCATTCACAATTGGACATTTATAACTGATTTATGTTGGAGGCCCTCAGTGGCACAGTTAACGAACTCAGCTGCTGATTGAAAGGTTGGAGGTTTGAGTTCACCCAGACACACCTAGGATGAAAGGCCTGGTGATCTGCTTCCAAAACAATGCAAAAAAAAAAAAAAAAAAACTAACTCACTGCCATTGAGTAGATTCTGACTCAGTGACCTGCTTTGGGTTTCCAAGGTGATAAATCTTTACAGAAGTAGATTGCCCTCATCTTCCTTCTGCCATTCCTTTGGTTAGCAGGCAAATACCTTCGACATTGCACCACTGAAAACCCTATGGGGAGCACAGTTCTGCTCTGACATACATGGGGTTGCCACGATCAGAATTGGCTCAGCAGCAACTGCGGTAGTCTTTTTAGGATGTGACTTAGACACACAGTGAAGGAGACAGGCTTATCATCCTCTTATTCTGTGGAAGAGTTCAATGATTGCAGTCCTCTTGCTGTCCATAGCCCCTGCCACACTGCAGAGTAAGACCTATAACTCAGGTAAGAGATCAATCTGTGAGCAAACTCTTTGACAGTGGGCTGAGTCCACAGAGAGCCCATGTGGTAGTTAAGATTGTGGGGCAACTTGGCTGAGCCTGGTTGAGTGGCTGGGTTGCTGGATGTAGTTATTCCCCATGGTGAGACTGGTAATTAACTCCATGATGGAATCTACTGGAGCAGCTGAGTAGCTGCTTTAGGGATGGAGGCTGCTTCTAGTATATAAGAGGCAACTTTGAGAAAAATCTCCAGCTGTTAGCATGCTTGAACCCTGCCTGTAGCTGAGTCATTGTTCAGCAACCTGCCATGTTGCCCTGCCAATCTTGGGACTTTTGATGGACTTGAATGAATGATCTGCCGTGAGGTTCAGTAATATTGGGACTGTACCTTTTCACTTGTTGACCTTGGGTTTGTCAGCCTCCGCAGCCAGCAGCTGCCTGACTGAAGAGATGCCTCTAGTTTCAGTGGGTCTGAAGCAAGAGGCAGAGCTGAAGCCTAAGGTTGAGGGGCTTTCACCCACCCCTAGAGCTTGGCACTTGGGACTCAGACTTCTAACTTCCAAAATCATAACAGAATAACTCCTGTTGTTAAAGCCATCCCATTTCCGGTATTTCTGTTAGAGAGGCACTAGGTAACCAAAACAGCCCACAAGAGACTGATATACTTAGGGTTCTGTACTAAACCCTCTGCGGAGGAGGTTGGGAGCACCTGGGGGCAGGCTGGGTGAGCAAGCCAGCAAGGAAGGCAAGGCAGGTGTTAGAGCAGATACAGGAAGATAAGGAAGTGAGCTGAGTGGTTAGGAACAACAAAGGGAGACAAACTTGTCTGTCAGTTTATCGTACTCTGGTGGCTTACATGTTGTTTTGAGGCTGGAATCTCTGCCACTGGTGTTTCAAATGCCAGCAGGGTTACCCATGGTGGGAAGATTTCAATGGAACTTCCAGACAAACACAGACTGAGAAGAAGGAAGAGGCCATCCACTTCTCAAAGAATTAGCCAGTGGAAACCTTATGAATAGCAGTGAAACACTTTCTAATATGTTACTGGAAAAGTTTATGAATAGCCCTGAAACATTGTCTGATAATAGTGTCAGAAGATGAGTTCCTCAGGTTGGAAGGCACTCAAACTATGACTGAGGAAGAGCTGCCTCCTCAGAGTAGAGCTTACCTTAATGATGAAGACAGAGTAAAGCTTTCAGGACCTCCATTTGTTGATGTGGCATGTCTCAAGATGAGAAGAAACAGCTGCCAACATCCATTAATAATAGGAACATGGGAAGTATGAAGTATGAATCTAGGAAAATTGGAAGTTGTAAAAATGAAATGGAACACATAAAAATCAGTATCCTAGGAATTAGTGAGCTGAAATGGACTAGTTTTGGCCATTTTGAATCAGATGTTCATATGATCTACTATGCTGGGAATGACAAGTTGAAGAGGAATGGCATGACAGTCATTGTCACAAGAATGTATCAAGATCTATCCTGAAGTACATTTCTGTCAGTGCTAGGAAAAAGCCATACACCTTCAAGGAAGACCAGTTAATACTACTATTACTCAAATACATACACCAACCACCAAAGTCAAAGAGGAGGAAATTAAGGATTATTACCAACTCCTGCAGTCTGACATTGACTGACCATGCAATCAAGATGTATTAATTGTCACTGGTTATTGGAATGCAAAAGTTGGAAACAAAGA